CCACTCCTAGTAGTAAGTAGTTTGTAAACGGTTCGATTTATAAGGATTCGGTTCATAAACAGTTCGGTTTATAAATGGTTCGGTTTATAAACGGTCCGGTTTATAAACGGTTCGGTTTGTAAACGGTTTGGTTTGTAAACGGTTCGGTTTGTAACGGTTTTTATGCCAGTTTAAACGGTTTCGGGTTAGAAACGGTTCGGTTTATTTTCGGTTCGGTTTCCTTTCCAGTTCGGTTTAGATTTGGTTCGGTTCTAAAACGGTTTAACATTACTCGGATCGGTTCGGTTTCGGGTTTACTAAAATGCGGTTCGGGTCGGTTTTCGGTTTCAAAAAATCGGTTTTTAATCGGTTCGGTTCTCATTCGGATCGGTTTGAATCGGTTCGGTTTCACCGGTTCGGTTCGGTTTTTGACAGTGCTAATAGTCACGATTCACACCTAAACTCCTAAGATAGTAGGGCATCCACATTAGTTAGATTTTTTTTATTTAATTATTTATTAATATTTTTTTTAACAAGGAGACATATTATTGCAAATCTAATTTTACCAAAGTAATATGATGCTTTAGGGAGACGAATTCATACAAACTAATTCATCGTTACCTCTTACGTCCTATCTAACAATCAATGAGTTAATGAGTCACGATATTCCCGCCCCTTTGAACATGAGAACAAAAGGGGGGAAAAAATCAAATAAACTAGATAATCGCCTGATATCATCATACATTTATACAATGAGTAAATTGAACAATTGTAGTGTTATTATTTTCACAGTATGAATTGAACAATTTTATGAAAAAAAAGCTCACATTTTATTAAGCCATTCTGTACTTTCTAAACTCGTTGCTTTAACTAAACTTTATGTGAAATAAAAAGATGAAAATATGTAATCTTCTTTTCCAAGAGTAAAGACCTATTGCATAGTTATGTCTACCCTCTTATTGTTTCAAATCACACATTTAGCGAATTGATCAAGATTTTCGTGAAAGATGTTTTATTGAAAATTTTGAAACATAAAAGTTAATATTTTGGAAATTAAGGGATGATTTCTGGATGATATGGCAAACTGTGGGCTATATCATGGGCTGTGTCTTTGAATGTATTCTTACAATACTTTGGGCACTCTCAAAGTCTCAACCTATGACAACAAATTTAGAAGTGAAAAAAATTTGGGACGACCTGGCCAAGCATTAACATTAAATTTCATATCCAAATTTGCAAAATATTAAAGCAGGTTTTTGGCTTTTTCCAAGCCGAATTTGGATTTTTAACTAAAATGTTATTGGAATGCCCAAACCTACCCTTTTTAGGGTCAGATCGGACCAAATTAGTCGACCAAATGTATGTTCTCTTCAGATTATTTTCAGTTCAGTTCTTAATTTCTTCTCACATAAAATATTCAATTATGTTGTCAATCAGAACAGGCCCCGAGTTGATCACCTGCACCAGTTGTACCATAATTATGTTTCCCCTCAGAATTGTACATGTTTCTTATGCAGTACCCATTACTCTCCATTTGTGAACTCGTAATACCTTATTAGTTATTACACATATAAATTAATATATACAATATTACAATCTGATCGCATGAGTCTTAAGCTAGTACATAGTACGAGTAGTACGTACGTACGTAAAATATACGAATCATACTCCGTATTATCATGGAGGAGACAGATAAGTTGCAAAACAAAAGCCATCATTTATTATAATTCCCTCTATTATCAACTGAATTTATGAAGTCTGAACTAAGCTATTGCTGCCCATATATTAGCATCTAGCAACCATATATATATATATTACAACTTGCAAGTCACAGTTCGCAACAAAACTCCTAAGACAAAGTAGGGCATCCACCCAAAATTATGCTAAGAAAAAACCAAAAAATAAAATAAAAAATTCCTACTACCCTCAAACAAGGCTTCAGTTTAAAACAATTGCAAACACACCCAAAAATCCTAATGATTGTATCAATGATGATGATATTGATGAATACCTATAAACACTCCCAAGTCATAGATTCTAGCAAAACTGGCACACTCAAACTCAGCCCTCCACTTGATTAGGTAGGTTGAGGGGCAAATCATCGATCCAATCTCCATAAATGCGGTTAATCTTCTTGGTTCCTTTCCATTTGAAGATGCATTTCTTTCCTTGACCTTCATGTCCAGAGGGAGTCCCGAGATCAATCTTTGTGGGTGTTGGATCGTTAAGAGGAGCAGAAACAGGTTTTAGAGGAGCAGAGTTCATTGTCACTGGTTCAGCATCAGCTGGACGACCACCAGGTAGCAACAACTCTGGAAAATGAACAAAGCCTGATAAGGATTCAGAAAACACGTGCGCATTGGATTAATGCATAGATTTCACAAGAGTAGCATATCTATTCAGAAAACACGTGCGCATTGGATTAATGCATAGATTCCACACGAGTAGCATATCTACCACAAGTGCATTGTAACGTACAGTTAGCATAATCAATATGGCTAGGGTTATCTAGTGACGGAAGAGAATCGTATCTCATTCTCCATTACGAAAATTAGTCAAGATTATCTCATCCTCTATCACGAAAATCAGTCAAGATTATCAATATGGCAATGACATCTCATTTTCTATTAACAAAATCCGAATATAGGTCTCCATAATCAATATGATTTATATAGTAACAGTAGCTTAGAAACGTTCCACTAAGCTAAACTGAATCTTCAGAAAGCAATCATGGATCATCAAATCAAACCAAGCACTGAATTAGAAGAGTACACTCCAAACCTTATAAAAAATATTCAGTCAATACAGTCTTTGCCCGGATACTAAAAGGTGTTACCCCTATCTACTACTATCTAGAGAAAACAAGAGAAAGATGTTTTCCAATGTACTACAACAATACAAATTCAAATTAAGTTCTTATTCATTATCAATTTCAATAAACACGAACAAAATAATGAAGCAAATTGCGTAGTCTGAAACAGGAGACATGGTATTTTGACAAGGGTGAAACAAGAGTTGCACAACTGCAAGATGGTAGCTATCCTTATTTGCACAACTGAGATAACTTCTACTCCAACAGCATCATTTAACAGTGATAAACCAATATAACACTTTCAAAACATTTGGTAAAATAAGTAAAGTAAATTACTTAATCAAATCGGATTTGACCATGTACTTCTCAACAAGTTTAGCAGGACAAATGGCAAGAAGAAACAAGTCATCAATTGACATTCTTTCAAGTCTATCTTAGTTCCTTAAAGGGATAACATACAAAACAATCAACCTCATATGCACAAGATAAAGCCAGCACAGATCCTAATTGTTTTGAGACTAACTCATAAAACATTGTAATAAAGATTGATCAATGAACCATAATAGATGCTAGTTCCAAACAATAGATAGTAAACAACCGCAACAAAACATTAAACATGATCAAGACTAATAATAGAACAAATATTGACACAATCAATCAAAGTTTGTCAAGGTATATACCTGATTGCCCATGAGCAAAATGGCAATTGTCCCCAAAAGGACATTGCCCTGTTGTTTCAAACTTGGTACAACGCTTTGTCTTCCAATAAACCGGCCTCGAATTTCCCCTCATGACATCCATACCACCATTACCATTGCCATTACCATTGCCATTACCATTGACATTGCCATTCGCCGCCACCATCCTATGAACATCATATTGATCAGGAGCCCTAGATTGTTGCTGCTGCACCATAGGAGGGCCAGTAGTACCAATGCTAATAGCAGAGCTCTCCCTAGAATTCTCCCTAAATCGAACCGGAGCCGGTTCCCTAAACTTAGCAGGCTCTTTGTGAAGGAAGTTGCACCTATCACCATAAGGGCATTCTTCCCCATTGTAAAACTTCTTACAAAGCTTCATCTTATGAATAATTCTATCATCATCTTCCCAATTATCACTCCCACCATTCCCTCTATCCTCGGTTCGGCCGCCTACGAGTTCTTGCCAATTAGGAGGAGGCTTTCTCAAGTCATCCTCACCATGAGCAAAGTTACAATTTTCGCCGTTTCGACATTGACCCATCCTAAACTTTGCACATAACCTGGTTTTAAAGAAGATTTTCCCAGTTGGCTGATTAACAGGAGGATTCATCTGAGGTGTTCTATGAGTCAGATTGCTAGGTAGGTTATCTGATGAGTTCTTAGACCTCTTTAATGGCGGAAGATCATGATCAAATTCTGAATTTACTTCAGGTTGTTCATTTGAACCATTAAATTGAGGCCAAAACCCCATTGAATCTAACCCATTGGAAAAAGGTACAAACGATGAAAAAGAATCAGAAAAACTCATCTTGATGAAAATTAAGATGCAAAATCAATCAAATTCAACAAACCCAGATCAAATTAAGACCAAAGATTGAATCTTTTGATGCACCCACTAATCAAAATCAATCTAATCCCTAAAAAAAAGGTAAAAATCAAAGAATTTCAGAGGATTGGGGAATTACAGCGAAGATTTGATAAGAGAGAAAAAAGAATTGTACTACTATAATTGAATTCTGAATAGTATATATTAAAATAAAAAGAGATTTTGGAGTGATTAATTTATAAATCTGAGAATTAGAACATGGAAAGTAGTGGGTATAAAATTGGACGAAATATGGGAACCCCAAATTGAAAACCCTAGCCGCCTTGGTTTAGGAATTGACAATGGGAAATTGCAGGAGGAAGAGAGAAAGAAGGAAACTTAAAAGGAAAAACCCTAAACACCTAAAACCCTAACGGCTCATTATCTTAATTTACACCATTAACCTTAATTTACTATTTTTAGATTGTTCTGTTCTTCTAATTAGTTGTAAACAACCAAACTTACCCTTTATATACAATATGGGTAATTGGATATGATGGGTATTTCTTTGGGCCCTAATAACCCAAACTAATCTTTATTCTCCATAGACCATAGTCCAATTGGCCCAATATCCAACATATTTTACAGATGTAATTTTTAATTAATTTATTTATTTTTATAATTTTTAGGTTTTTTAATTTTATATTTTCAGAGGGGGAAACCCATATAATTTGTAAGATTTAATGTTCAATTTAATATGGTAAACTCGTATAAGGTTCATTGTGATCTCGAATATAACATAATATTACGTAGTTTATAGATAGAATATGTATCTTAAAAAGTGCATTCATAAATTTCATATCTTACAAATGAACTACCAATTTTAAGATTACTTGTGTTATGGCGTACGTGTATCATAGAATATGTTAAAGAGTCAATATGCGTCTGGACGAGGATATCACACTGTATAAAAAACGATGTTAACCTAGTTTATTTTTCACCCTGGGCTAGAAGTGGCAAATTAAACGACTGATATAATCATATAAGTGTAGATTAACTATCTACATAATACTCACGTTATATGAAGAGTCAATGTTCATCCAGACGCGCATTATGTGAATAGGCAATGTACATTGAGACGAAAATATCACAGTTGTTTACCTTATTTTTAATTCTTAGCCTGGTTTAGGAGGGGCAAAACAAACACTTTACATAGGTGTATGTATGTATATATCGAGCCAAAAGGACTAAGAGTCTATTCTCTACAACTTAAATTCAGTTTAGTTCAGAACCTAATTTCCCTCTCTTATAAAATATTCATTTCAGTTTAATTCAGCTTCAATCAGTTCATTTCAATAAATCAGAACAAGTATTAAGTTAATAATTTGATGTTGCTGATTATATATATTTTTTCATCAAATTTAAAAATCGATCTACTTTTGATAATTAATGACTTAATTTTTACATTAATTGAAATGAAGTACACCCTTCTCATCCTAATAGTCACCCATCAAGTTAAATAACCGAAAACTCCAACAACACAACAACCACCCCCCAAAAAAAAAAACCCCAAAAAAAAAAAAAAAAAAAAAAAAAACAATTGTCACCTCTACAAACGAGATACATAAGTTTAGATTATATTATACTTCAAATTTCACTAAAGCAATAAGTAAAAACTTCTATTAAAGTAATAAACTCAGTTACTCACCCCAAATAAATACAGTAGTTCGTGAAGCACAACTCTTGTTTAAACGAGAAGCCAACAACAGCAAGTATAGTTATGTCCTTTGAGAATCAAAGAGATTTTCATCTCCTAAATTCAGGTATATTGTCTGAATTTTTTTTGATAGTTGAATTCCACTAACATTCTAGGTTCTACTTTGTGATTGAATGTCATGCGATGTCCCTATTTTAGTGTGACAACAATTTTAGTGCCTTGCCATTTAGGTGTTTGATGAAATGCCTAAAAGAAACCCATTTGTTTCCCACATTCTCTTTGGTATGTACTGTGCAGGTGTAAAAGTAAAGTGGGTTTTTAATAAGAATTACATAACATTATGACCCATGCCCAAATTGGACTCTTTCTTAAGCGGGTACGTGTTCGTTTCATAGTGTACATTAATATCGTACATTTAAACATTTAAATGTATTACGAGTGTAAGTAAGATGTGTTCCGATTGTACTAGGGATGTCTCGCGACTTTAACATTATAAAGAAAAACAAGTGGGGTCAAATGAATTACAAATTAAAGTATTTGTATATGTCTAATTGAATTAAGTCCTAGGTTGAGGAAACTTTTTTTTTTTTTTGATTTTTTTTGACATTTAAGTAAGTAGAAATTTACCAAAATACTTGTATTTTATGCTTTATATGATTAAGATTATGTTTTTGGTGGGAGGTTGTGGTTGTTTTGTGTACAATGTTGAATTTGTGGGCAACACTGCTGATATGGATGACACAGTTAAGTAAAAGCAGAGATAAAGACTTGAAACACTTCAATGACAAGAACAAATTATGTTGTTGAAGAAGCAACTTGGTGAAAAATGTCACCTTCACCTTCATATGCATGTATTAAGTCCCAAATTGGTTAAATATTTTTGCAGGAGTACGTGTTTCTCTTTTGTACATTCTTAAGGACTTTGGAATAGTTGGAATGAAAAAACATGGGCCAAGTTTAAATCTTACATAAGCACTATGATCATGGCTGTAATGGGAGCTGCACTTGGTGCTGGTAATCCCTGGTGTTGGTAGGAAGATGACCGATAAGCTGGGAAGAAAACTAACAATCTTAGTTGTCGACATTTTGTTCTTGATTATTGCAGTGATCATGGCACTTGCTCCTGCCTATTGGGTTATCAATCTCATCGTGATGGGAAGAATGTATGGTAGTTAGGAGTTGGATGGCATCCATGGCTTTGCTGCCCTTTTCTTTGTACATACCAAATTACCAGGAACTTCTCCTTATAGTATTAGAGGGTGCCCTGTTAGCACTAATAATTTGTTGATCACTGGAGGCCACTTCTTGTCTTACCTAATTACCTTAGTAATCTTGGTTACACTCAAGTTTGGAAACCCAAACATCAGAAACAAGTTTATTGGAAGCCACACACATATACCTGCCCATAAAAAACATAGAGTGAAGATTAATTCTCTTAATTACATGGCATAAAATCAGGCTTTAAAATTTGAGGAAATCTCTAACTTAAAGCTAGAGTACTCGAGGACACAAAATTGCTCATATAGCAGTTCTGCATTTTGAAATTTTTGGCTTTCCCCCTGCTTTAGCATTGATTTATGTAATTGTTGTACATTTCATAATGATATATTTTTTCAGGCTTCAGCTGTTGTTTATCTGTATATCGGTGGATGGTCGAAACAATTTATTATGTAACTATTGCAGAAGCAGCCGATTGATGTTATATCGGTATTCAATTGATATATTTTCCAGGTTAATGCATCTCTGGGAAGGCTGCAATGCCTGCATTGTTGCAGCTCATTCTGATTCTATTTTTCCCAACTCACCTAGATGTCTTTATAGAAAGGTTTGGTTAAAAAGGGAAAAATGTACTAGATGATACTTGACAAGTTGACAGAAAAAGCCCTGATACAAGGAGCTTTTCTTTCTTCCTTTGATCAAAATAAGGTTGTTGAGGCTGAGGCTATCTTGGCAAGAATCCATTGGGCTGATTAAGTAGAGGACCTAAAAGAAAATTGTATGTATAGTTTGAAGTTGAGTTGGCCTTGAAAACTATTTAGAAGGGGGCTGAAATCTGGGGCCTGTGATAGTTGTTGAAATAGCTCAATAGAACAACAGCACAGCTATGTATGTCGTGACAGTCCTGTAATTTTTTGACTAGAAGGATTCATGTCAAAAAGCATCACTATGGACCTTGGCTCTTTCTCTCATAACTTCTGGTCACTCTAATGTACTTGGATCATTTCCTCGCATATTTGTTAATATTTGATAGGGCTGGTAGGAGAAAGCTATTGATCAATTCTATGTTTACAACAATTTCTGCTTTAATGTCTTAGCGGGTTTATTTCATCATTTTGCTAAAACTGTTCCTAAGCTATTATAATCTTCTTATTAATCATTTTAAAGTATTTAAAATTAATAATAAAATCATTTTAGTGTCTATTCTTCTTCTCATGCTTATGTAGCCGCTTCAAATGCAGGGTCTTGGAGCTCTATGAGTTGCTTTATAATGGCCTCAGATTGCGCATTTTCTGTCAATAAAAATAATTAGGTATAAACATTTATTCTTATATGGTATGAAGAAACAGTTCAAGCATGTGCCTAATTTCTTTGTCACCAATTGGTTGAGTATCTAATCTTCATCTTTATTGGTATTCAACTTGTACCCATGATGCCCTTACACTATCAGTGAAACTGTGTAAGTGGGACCGTTTAGTGGTTTAACGCTCAGTTTGCTGTTGCATCTATCAGAATACTTGTCAGTTGTCATGATTATTATGGTTTATGGTATCAAGTTCAATGTTTGATTTTACCCTTTGATTTCCTTCACGGGTTTCCTATAACAATTTGTTATTACAATAACAGTCCCTTATGTATCTTACTGCTGACAGGGTGCCCTAATGAGTTATGAGTCTAAACGTTGATATGTGTTTCAGAAGAAAGACAATTATGTTTCTTAAAATTAGCTTGTAACCAGTAGGTTTGAGGGAAATAGTTGTTTTCTGAAATTCAGAGTTTGGGTCAAAACTTAAAAGTCGATTTTTTTTCCCCTTTTGTTTCAAAAACTGCCTGCACTTAGTTTCTATTTTTCCTGAATAACATTATCTTTGATCTCTTTTTTTTTGCTGTTACAGACTCTGTAAGGGAATGCTAGCAGTCCTATTCTTAGGAGCACATTGATTTTATGCTTCGAGTATGGCAACTGTACCACTGTCCACAGATCATGATTTTGGTGATTTACCTGTTGTGATAATGAGGAATTGAGGGAAGTACCACTGCGGTCACTAGCTGGTCTGCTAATCTTTTGGACTTTTACTGAACAAGACCTTTTTAACCTTAAACTGAGGTTCTTGGCTCTTGAGGTACCTTCCTTCTCCTTGCAGAAGCTTTAGTCGGCATTTACTAGTATTTATTTACTTGTTGGTGCTGGAAACCAAAGGGTTGCCAACTTGCCATATGAGGATGTGGAGCAAATGTTAGAAATAGGGCTCAGACTCACTTATGTCATGGGTGTAATGAAGATAAGGAAATTTTTAGGCTGGTGAGTTGGTGACTGGGATAATTACCCATGCTTTGGTGTAATTTAAGTTTGATTTCACAATGTTTCTTGGGAATTTTATGTTGTTAATTGGGAGAATTAGCCATACTTTGGAGCAATTCAAGTTTGATCTCACTATGTTTACTGGGATTTTCTTTTAAGTAGGTTTCTTTAATTACATGCAACTGTAAATAAGCTAAGATAGGAGGATCAAAGCTTGGCATTGCTAATATCAGTTATATATCCTGAAGTTGATTCTGTTAGGACTTTTGTTTCTGAAAATCAGTATTTTATCTCTTCAACTTTAATTTTACAAGCCTCTACATTCTGCTAATTTTTTGAGCTTCAATATAAAGCTCAGTCATCATAAGCTTAGACAGGGGGGAAAATATCTGTATTTCCAATGAAAAGAGGATTCGGAAAATGAAAGAAATATGCCACTCTACATCTAGGGAGAAAATCCTGTATTCAACTTACAATTATAAATATTATACGCCACTTACTCCTGTATTTCAATGCTAGGTCATTAGCATGGACCAATGAGAGCACGTAATGCATGCTATGGTATAGATAGCGGGATAGATGACTTTGATTCGTCTTTTTGTTCACATAATCATGAGTTCAATTTAGAAAATGATCATGTTGTTTGTTGATTAAATTTTTTGTGGTTTACAATGCTCAGAAGAAAAAAGGGCAACAGAAGTGGCCAAGTAATGGAATGCAACTTGCAAGTGTGGGCACTGAGTCATCTATTATTGTGAACTTCCAGTGAAACCAATACTCTTGTGGTAAGTTACGAATATTTTTGTCACTTCCTTTGCACATTGATCATAACCTGTAATATAGTTTGTACTTCTAAGAACCCACAAAATCATTGAAAAGTTCACTCATAAAGTTATATGGGGTAGGCAATAGTATTATACTTTTTGCGGCTTCTTGACCTGTTTATCTGAGTATCATGCATTACATGTAAAATAATGCAACAAACACACTAAACCAAACAATTAGGGCTTGGAGGTAAATCTTTACTTCTAATAAAGTTAGGATATGCGGAATTCATCAAATTTAGCATTGGGAAGTCGGAAGACCAACAGAGGATTGGACCTTTTTTTTTTTTAAACCCATGCTCTAAAGTGCAGCATCAGGTTCTTATCTGCATGCTGCTACCCTTGAAGATTTTATGCCAAAAGGGGCTCATTAATTATTGCTCCTTTGAAAGGGAAACACATTAGCAGAATGAAGCACACCCCTAAAACCAAATTAGTCTTGAGGTTCTTATCTGCATGCTGCTACTCTTTAAGATTTTATGCCAAAAAGGGCTCATTAATTATTGCTCCTTTGAAAGGGAAATACATTAGCAGAATGAAGCACACCCCTAAAATCAAATTAGACTTGAGTGATTCCCAGAATGGAATATTTTTAAGTGAGAGTTGTTAGTCATTGCTTAAACAAGTAGTGGCCAAAAGAGGAGGAATTGCACTTGTAAGACATGGATTTTTCCTTGTAACCCAGAAAAATACCCTTTTTGGGATTTACTTAATCCTTTCATAGCACCTTACAATGACTAAAATTACACTTAAAAGTAGAAGGAAATAAAAACTCCTCAATAGGTGCTATGATTCAGAAAGTTACAATAGAAACTGAATTAAATCATGGAAGCCTCTGTAAAATTATTTCTCTCTTACATTGCTCCACCTGCCCAAAGAAAAAACCTTGAGATATGTTTTCTTATATATGTTACAAATAAATTTTGCTAGAGGAGATAATTACCTTAATCTCTTGGTAATCTGCACTTGTAGCATTCCATCCTGCATGCATAATTGTGTAAACCACATCCAGGTCTGCAGTCATAATAATGTCATTTTTAGTCATCCCACAACTAATGAAGCCTGAGAATAAGACGAGCAGTCTTGGTTAGTAAAGAAATAAATTAAATCACCTCATGCAAATCCAGTCTCCAGCCTTCCACCCTGGCATGAGTTGTTGCTGTTGTTGTTCTGAGCTATATCCTCCAGCTCCCATCATCATGTCACCAGTTCCATAACCAACACCAACAGTCCCGTATTCACATTTAAGGTTTCCACAGCGGAAGCAGCTTGTACGGCTAGCGTAATTGTGGGCCCCACAATTCATGGTCTGGCAGTACCAGTCTCCGGCCAAAACCTCTGTCCTACTAGACTTTGTGTTAGCAATGTAATATGGGATATCAGCCTGGCTTCCGTACTTTGGAAAGCTACACTTCTGGCATGATTCTCGCTTCTTGAAGTTTACATGTTGGCATGCACCACACAACCAATCCCCTGGAGAACTCATTCTTGCCTTTATCTGCAGTAACCAATAAGGAAAAAATGGAGTTAGAACATTGTACTTCAGCATTTTTTTTTATATTTGCATTAATTGATTAAGGATCATTGTTTTGTTTTCCATTTTTGTACATCTCTTTTTTTTTTTTTTTTTTTTTTTTTTTTTTTTTTTTTTTTTTTTTGCAGTTGAGGCATAAAGGTTACAAAGTCCTTGAAACTTTATCGGTTTACCTCATAGGCTGAATGATGTAATGCACTAGAGCATTACTTTGATAAGATAGAAAGAGCTCGAGGAACTAACCTGATAAAACTGGAGCTTCAGAAAAAGGAAGAAACTGAAAGCAGTGGTTTATGAGTGTTGATAGCTAGAGAAGTGTTAAAGGTAGTTGGTGGGTATTTGGTCTGTTAAGTGGTGACTCCTTTTATAGTAGTTGAGGAACTTCTTTTTAGGTGGGACCTGAGTATAATGTTCACATCATGCTAGAGGAGTATTTGCCTTTACAAAGGGTTCCCCTGCTTCACTTGAGTCGTTTCCTTAAAAATGGGATTCCCTGGTATGGGAAGACAATATTAAATTAAAGGATCTATTTCAGGGTTCTGATTAATAATTCTGCTCCATTTCAGATAAAGGGAGCTTATTTTATTAACAGGCAAGTTCATGCACACATCCTTGAATATGGGAGAGACTAGAGAATAGTAATTTCAAGCATCCTTTTTTTCTTTATTCCCTCTATATTAGATTACTTGATATGTTTACAATATCCAAATCTGCAAGGTGTTATTTGGGGTGGGGGCTTTGAGATAAGTTTTCTTAGACAGCCATTTCAACTCTTTGTTTCTGATGATACAAAACCTAAGCAAAGTTTGATTCTACGAAATACTTGTTCAAGATTGATTGTTCCATATCCTACTACTTCAGGATGACTGGAAAAAAAAATGTATTGCTGTGGCTTATTATTGAACTTTCCAACTTGCCTTTTCTCAAATTCGTTAGTAGGAGTATGGGAATGCCTAATATTATTGTTAATTATACAAATAAAGTTGCGTATGGAGTAAAATTTGTGATATAGTGTATATAATTATATAATTTGGCATGGAGCATGATTTTGTTGTTAATAAGTTGCAGCTGTGGCAACTTATGTCTCTTATTAATGAAATGGAAGAATCAGGCAGCTGTATGACATGGTGCACAGCATGCGGCTACTGTTTGGCAATTAAATTAGATGTATTAGTTAGATTTTTCATAATAAGTTTATTATCCATGCAAGGAACATGTTTGTTGAAATCTTAAAATATGCCTTAGAGATTTAAAGTCAAATTAGGCTTCTAATTGTTTTCTTAATTGGTGGGCATGGGAATAAGATTTTTACGTGTTCTAAAATTACATTGTTCCAGGCAATTAATTTTAGTTACCTAGTTCATGTAATGATATATAAATCGAGGGCAAACATTTGGTTATTATTCACAGAAATAAAAGTGATTCCTTGTATAAAGAGCTAGCAATTTGGGTAAGCAAATCATGTTCATATAGAAACTAAATTATATGTAAGATGGTGACATTTTATGAAAATGTACCAGACCAGGTTGACTCATGAGTTTCGTGTCTAGTTTATTTCAGTGACTTCGCATAGGATTTAAGCCTTGTTGCCATTTTGGGTGACATATTGCCATTTTCATGCATCATAAGTAGCTTAAATGCTTTGCACCAATTGAATTGCTTATTTTTGGCAATTAAATTTTAAACTTACTTAGATGAAATATATTCTTTGGTGTTAGAGGAGAGTTTTAGATTGTCATGATTTTTTTTTTCCTTTTTTAGATGGTTGGCAGAGAACAAGAGGTGGGAATAATTCTTCCTCTTGTTGCTCCAATGGGCAAAGACTCAGAAGGGTACGTAGTTGTCTATATGAAGTAGTTTACAACTAAGGCCACTCGATCTCATTGACTATCCTGCCTAATTATTACCTTTGGTTTGGAAAAAAAAAAGGGAAGAAGTGATTAGCGATTCTACAATTTGCAGTGTTGACACCTCATATTGTCTTACTTGTTTCCTTCCTGTAAAAGCATCCAGGTGCAGTATTGTTAGTTGTGGAGGCTTATCTAGCAAGGGCATCATTCATGGATTAATAGGGGGTTTTTTTTTTCCTGTTTGCAGAACGCGTAGAGAATAGAAAAGAAAAGGCAACAGCGATTTTTGCTGAGTGATTGCTGTCAGGATGGGGATTCTTTTCAGAATTATTGAGGAGCCATATTTGCAATGACCACAGGTGGAGAATAAAAAAGTGTTAGAGAGGGCTCATCTGTCTTTAAGGTTTTTCCTTTTAAATCTTCCTTCATGTGAGAATATTCAGTGTGCATGGTAAAAACTTCATGATGAGGATTCTCTCTTATCAAAATTGCGAGTCAACAAAGTAACAGGCTAAGTGGAAAATCGACATTGTTTGCCATGTGCCATGTCAACTTGTAGTCCGTCGTCTCCCATGAGGGGGTGATATGGCCTCCATGCTGCCGTTATAGTTTTTATGCCCCTGCAGTATATTCTCTGTTGCCTTTGAGATATTATTAGATTACTTCATTACTTATGCTTTAACACCTTAACCTGTCATTTGATATAGATTTTCTTTAGGTCCAGTACTGCTTCATTAGGTTGATATAAGATTTTCAATTCTCTGCAGATAGCTCTTTCTTTTAAGAAGAAAAAAAAATCGATAATCAGCTGAAATCATCATAGATTGAGTTCATGCAGTATACTACATCTAGGTTTCTGCTAAGTTATTCTGAAGGGAAACCAGTACCTTTTATCTCTTTCATTTTCCCTTTTTGGGTGGGGGGAGGTTGATGTTTCTTAGAATATCTGTATATGGTACTTATTCTTCAGAGTCGTCTAGGAACTAATTGAAAGCCATTTAATGCTTCAAGGAAAAAAAAAAAAGCATCCAAGTTTTTCCAGCTTCAGTTTTTGACCCTTAATCAAAAAAACCACTCAAGGGACAAATTAATTTATATGTTGTCGCTGTTGGATTTTTATCAATCATACTCATAGATAATATCAAAAAAGTTATAAGCCTTTGTTCTGTTATTACTTTTAAGTTTTACAGGTGTAGCCCTCGTATTAGGTGGGAAAGCCATGTCAGATTTACACTCTCAGGAATGTAAGACAGCATCCACAATTGATATGAGTTCTCTTGAATTAATGCACTTAGGGAATCCAAACTTAAGAAAACTGAGGATTTTTGTTTTCTTTTCTTGCATTTCGTTTCTTATTTGCTCAGGATGTGCATGAGATAGAAGTACTGTTTCCATAGATTTACAATCTTCTTTTTAATATTTCCCCCCTTATTCTATGGCACTTTTTTCATACCATATAAACCTGATGATTTCACTGGGGCTATATGATGAAACCTGCTTGAAAGACAAACAAATAGGAGTGGAAGTCCCACATTTTGCGTTGATGTCGTCTGCATCAGATTCATACATCCTTTCACATGAGAGGATTGAAAGTTTTAAGCTCCAAGTGAAAGCTGTCCCCTTTCAAATAACATCATCCCCTAATAACACCTTTGCTAGAAGGATATTTGATGATTGAAGAGAATAAGAACATAAAGAACTTTATAGTGCAAGAGGGAATCAGAAAAGATAAAAGGTCAATTTTGCTGATCACTTCTTGAGTTTATGTTGATTGCTGACATATATGATTACAGATATGCTTTAGTTTATTGTATATAATTTGAACTTATAACAGGAAAATAAATGTGGTTCTGTGTGTAATTTCTACTTTTGGAATCCCATTACGTCAGAGGGGTCAATTTTTCTGTTCACTTCACAAGTTTCTGACTTTCTGCTAACTGCTAACATATATGATAACAGATTATGTCCTTAGTTGTATATCAGTTAAAGCCTTACATTTTATAGGGTTCTGTTTGTAATTGTCAACTTGCGGAATCCCGTTTTTAAGGTGACTGCATGAAAAAGATAGAGGGAACAATGAAGATGATGTTAACATTCATGTCCGTACACAGGAAGCGTAAATTTTGTTATAAAAGGGCATCATTGTTTACTGAACTAAATTCATTTCAAGTTCCATCTTCATATATCTCTTTCATTGAAAGTACCTTCTTCTCAACCATTTCATATTCCTTAATTATCCCAGGTAATCTTCAGAGACTATGAATCATGACGGCATGACCTGCTAATAGAACATTGTTTGTTTTTAAAGAGGAATGACAGAACACTAATGTTGCAAAGTTTTGCCTAATAATGACAACTAAAATTTATATTAATGTTCTGTTTCTAACAAATATTGCTTTTCTTTTTGGGGTAGGGGTGTTCTTAGGGAAAGAGATGAGCTGGGGAGGGGACTGGATGTGTGGAGCATGCCAATACATTAACTTCAAGAAGCGAGAGATATGCCAAAGCTGTGGATTTTCTAAGTATGGTGGGCAGGATGATGCCTCAGCATATGGACACAACACCGCCACCAACAGGACACAAGTGTTGGCAGGGGACTGGTACTGCCAGTCTATGAACTGTGGGGCCCACAACTATGCTAGCAGGACGACCTGCTACAGGTGCGGCGTGCAGAAACCTGAATGTGCTCGTGGATGCTGTGGAGCTAGCAATGTCATGTCCTCCTGTGCAGGGTATGGTTCGGAGGCTACCCCTCCTGGATGGAAATCTGGTGACTGGATTTGCACTGGGTAAATTCTCCGTTCTACTGCCTAATTATACATTTGTTAGTCTGCCTATTTACGGCATTGTATGGAAATATCATTTTACCACTGTAATTGGTGCATATATAAACATCTGTTAATCTGTGTATTTATGTCATTTTGGATTTACAGACCAGGATGTGGGATGCACAATTATGCCTGCAGGATGGAATGCTTCAGCTGCAAGACACCGAGAAATTTTGGTGAGAAATCTTCCTCTTTGTCTAGCTATATATATCAGAAACAAGCCTATTACTTCTTATGTTTGCGGTTTGTTAAACGACACATTTTGTAATTGCAGGAGGAATGTACTAACAGAACTACCACAAATCTGCTTCCTTATCGTCGTTTATGAGTCTTAATATCATCGATAATGTAATCAAACTAGCACTAACTAGGAAGTGCTTAGTCCCTGTCTGTAATGAAGCTATATAAAGCTCTTGGAGACTAGCTTGTAATTTGACTTGCAGAATTATAAAATATGAAGTATTTATATATATATATATATATATATGTATCCCATGTATTTAGTACGTCTATGTTTCTCATATTCTATGAAGTTTTTTCTGACATGTGTATGTTTCTAGATGTCTTTAACAAACTTTTCAACGATAAACATTGCAATATTCGAGAATCAATATTCTAGATTCTACATGGGTAACACAACAATTGTTCTTCAAAGATACTGACCAAAATTGATATTGAAGATTTCATGTAACATCATTAATAATATGCCGTGATTACTTGATTACCTACATTATTACATAATTATTCAGCATTAATACCCTAGGTTTTCCACATGCATCACCACCCTAACCTTGCTAACCTGAGCCAGATTCTTCCATTAATCGAGTTTACGAGTATATAGTTTGATCTTCATATGGTTTGATATTGCATATACGAAGTATGTAGTTTGATCTTCATGACTTCATTGAGTTAGTTTTTGGTACTTTATATATATAAATGGAAAAAATAAATGTTATTAAAAATTTGTATGATTAGTACCGATTATTCATGTTATAATTTTTTTTTCTTATCAACTTTTTATTATTTGACTACTCCATATTAGACAAATAAAAATAATAATGATTAAAGTTCTTCATTAAAGTTATATTTTGCTGAATTTTAAAGAGACTGATGAAGTATCAAACATGCAATTTATGATGACGTTTTTGCATATATACATGCACTCACTACAAATTCTCATTTGTGATATGCTACCATCAGTCGTTCATGTTTAATGACAATGCACAAATTTTTATTTATTTATTCAAATGAGGAACAAGTCCAAATAAAAAACTAAATAACTGAATAATTATAACAAAATCAAACGTTGTAAGGAGGGACTAGGCGAGGAAAAATCACACTATAGAGTATTGATTTACGTCTTAATTAGCAAGCTAGTATGTTGCACGGTTGCCTTCCTATGTACACATGGATCTCGTGAACTTTCCAATCCGAGCTCTTTATCATGGAACAACAATGAGATGTACATAAATCACCTCCAAATTCTTCATTACGACGCATGCTAATTTAATCATCAAAACATTTCTTAAGGTTGGACATTTATTTGGCTGTTCTTGAATATGTTAAATTTTGAACTTGTGCATGTACGCATGCTGCATGCATAGCAATAAGACTATATATGAATTTGCTCAATAATTGGCCTGGATTCTTGCCAATTATAAATTGGTTTTTGATTTAATAAAAATAATTTGTGCTCGATTAGATAACCAAAGCATTAAGCATAATTTGTTAAATGACCTTTTAGGCAATATGCTTGAAATAATTGGTTGCTGGCTTTGAGTATTGCATGAAATAAAGTCGGTTATTTCGCTTTTTTATTTTTCGAATGAAGAGCAAGTCCAAGTACAAGAAAATAAAAACAAAAAACACTAAAACGTTCGTTATTTCCCTTGAAAATTGCTATGAGTTGATTTTATATACTCACTCTGTAGTTTTTTTTGTCTTTTCACTCACTTTAACAAGTAAAAGAGAGTCGGTAATATAGTGGAAAATGGGTTCCATTTTTAACTTTTAGGTAGAAATTTGTGTAACTATTTTTTAACAAAGCTTTTTTGGTGCAGCAGGCCACACTGTGTGGCCTGCTGCCAAGTCAGTAAAAATAACAGATTTTGATGCGCGCAAAACGGGGTTATTGTTCACGCGCATAACGGGTTACTGGTTTTGTTAGGGTTACTTGTATTTTTTTTTCAAGAGTTACTTGTAATTTTTTTTAGGGGTTACTTGTTTTTTTTTTTTTTTTTTTTACAGGAGTTGTTTCGGGGTTTTCTGATGTCCTGGGGGAGAGTTACAATTCTAAGACTAGAACCGGACGCCTGTACCTGCAAAACAAACAGATGCTCCGGACGATTGGAGATCCGCCTCCGACGGTCAAGTTAGTACTTGATTAAGGAGTAATTAATGCGGAAATAAAAGTAATTGGGTCTCTCTAGGTGAGAGTGTTAAATGTGCGTAATCTACCTTAATGAGGATTAATGGGCATATTTATATGCCTTGGGATGCGTGTCAGTACTAGGTTTAGGTTAAACCTAAGGCTGACTGGGCCTCCCACAATGATTGGGCCTTGTTGGCCGGTTTTCCCATTTGGCATGGGTGGACACGTGTCACATTGCAATTGGTCCAAGGAGGACGAATCTCTTGATGACACGTGGCAGGCTCCTATTGGCCTACATGAAGGACACGTGGCGAAACCTGACTGGCCCACGTGTCGGATGCTGATTGGTGGATAAAAATCCCCTAATCATTTGCCCCTCACAGGTGGCACGTGACTGGTCACGTGTTACCTGTGACAGGTGTCGCACCGTGACAGGCGACGGCCTGCTACAGGTGTCACTCGGTGAAAGGCCGAGAGATTCTCCCGCCCAAATTTTGAATTTTGGAAGTGACCCTTCGCCTTCTCACTTTGCCTATATAAGGGTGTGTTGACTTCAGTCATTTTCACACTTGAGAACTTTTTAGAGAGAACATTCGGACCCCTGAACTTGCTCTGACATTCCGGACTCTTTCTGCCTACCGCCTGCTCTAACAAGCCGGCTACTCAGGATTTTCAGAACTCCGTCAACTTCACTCGTTCAGGTAACCGTCGGTTCTCTTACTCTTAATTTTCTCTTTATTTTATTCTTTTTTGAAATGGCACCACGGAAGCACACGACACGACCTAGGTTAGTGATCAGCCGGTCACCGGGGACGGCTGAATCTAGGACTAGGAGTGTCGCCTGCCCTTTTCCGGACCCATCTTTGCCCTTTATACAAAGTCCGACTGTCTCTGTGTCTATGCAGAACATGATGGCCAGAACAAAAAGAACTGCTAGGATCTCGAACTCAGACGGCTCCTCCCACAGGGTGCCGATTAGTGAAACATCTGACCAGGCGCCAGATGTGGAAGTGAACCAAAGCGGCTTGACAACCGACAGTTCTGAGGGAGGGGTCAAGGTGACCCCTTCCCATTTTACAGTTGACATGTCTACATTCTCTCCTACTCCTTTTGAAGGAGAGAAGGCGGGGCCCTCTGGGAGAGGGGAGGAGTCGTCCTCTTCGGACTCGTCAGAGGACGAATCCGAGTCTAGTTCTTCTGGTCATGCTTCTCTGGACACGGAAGAGAAAAACAACCGCCTACAAGAGGCGAGGCTTTCTCACGCAGTTGAGAAGGGGGACAATTGGGCGGAGCCATCCGCCTCTTACCGAGAGCAAAATACCCCTTACTACTGCACTGTCCCACGGGGCCGGATCACGGCCATGCAAGAGAGAGTGGGGAGCTTTATTGCGAACCACACAATGGGCCCCGGCTTTTTAGTTTTCGTGCCGAATCCAGAAGACACAGTCGTCTGGCCGGCTGGTACTAGTTATGATAGCGCCTGCTTTGGCTGCTACAAGGCGGCCATCAGGGCTGGGCTGCGCTTCCCACTACATCCGGCTGTTCAGCGGATCTTGTATGGGTATGAGTTGGGGTTATGGCAGTTAGCCCCAAACTCCTGGGTCAACGTACTCGGCTATGTGGCCGGGTGCAAACTGCACGGGGTGGAGCCAAACTTCGAGGCTTTCGCCCACATGAACTACCTCAGCCGGACCCCTAAGGCAGGCGGTACCGGCTGGTATCAATTGACGAGCCACAAAGGCTACCTCATGACAAGAGGTAAAGCAAACAAGTGGAAGGATTGACGAAGCACCTTCCTTATCATTGAAAGTTCAGACACAGAGTTGAACAAGCGCTTCAACAGGTGGAACAGGGATCCGCCTCTTCTTGCAGGCGGCCACATCATGCCGCCTGTTCCCCCCAAAGACAAGAAAGAGATCCTGGATAAAGGACTCTTTAAAGTAGAGTCGAGGGTCGACTCTACTATAGGGGTACGAGAGCAAGTACCCCTGCACTGCGTCCCGAGCTTCAAATGGCTCTATGACGAGTACTTTCTGGCCGCCTGTGGCCTTAGCAGTCGGTGTTCAAGAGGTAGTCGGCCTGTCGAATACTCTTTTTTGCCATGAGTTACTGTTTATCTTTTTATTAACTTGGTATCTTGTCTTTGTAGCGGACGCCATGAGCAAGATCACCGCTTCCAAGACTGCGGCGACCATGTTGCGAGCCTCTATTATGCAACAATCCTCAACCGACTCCCCCAACAAGGGGGTGCCCTTGGTGAGCTCCGAACCTTTCACTCTCTTTTTTGGAGTTGGGTTTATGCATATACTGACCGAGTGTTTGTTTGTTTTTTTTTTTTTTTTTTTTTTTTTTTTTTTTTTTTTCAGACGGGCACTCCAAGAACCTCTTCTTCCCAACAGCCGGACTCCAAGACCCGGAGGACGACTGTTGCGAGCTCTCCTGGTACTGCCAGGAAACATGCGGCGGCTGAGAAACAGCCGTCCACTCCTTCTAAAACTCCAATCAGGCCGCCTAGAAGTATGAAGTTGTCCTTGTGAATTTAGACTTGCTCCCTTCTTTACTAGGTCTAACCCGTTTGTTTATGCTTGATGCAGCCGGCCCTCGGGAGCCAGACTTGGTCGAGGTGGCCAAGTCTATGATCAAAGCCGTCCCTCCGGCTGAGAGGGAGGCAGTCAGGGGTGTCGGCACCCTTGACCTAGACGGGATTGCAGGGGTCCTTGCTGAGGTATACTTAGCATATTTTTGGTTATTTAAATTCCAGGACGCCTGTTTTTTGTTTGAAAACTGACGCCTGTTCCCTTTTACTTAGGCCCTGCTCCGAGTGAATGGCCTTCGCAAGCCGCTTGACAGGAAGAACAAAGAGGTAAAGGCTGCAAAAGCTATGGCCGCCTCTGACTGTGATAAGGCAATGTTTCAAATTGCCCAAAATGAGATTTTGACAACTGATATTCTTTATTATTAGGCGCAGGCTACTTCTGCTATCCGGGCTCAGTTGGAGGCGGCCCAGAAGAAAAATAATGAGCTGGAGGCGACCATCAACAATCTCAAGGCCGAGCTGAGACCTCTTCGCCAAAAAATGTCCTCATACGACACCTTGGAGAAATCCTTGGCAAAGGCCGAGCAA